AATCTGATTATCTATATTGGTCTATAATATAATATCATATTCATCTTGTATACTAAATGTTCCTCCTTGACAAATTCGACTCTTTTTTAGCTCTACAACATTTACTCAATGCCTCATTTGCCTTTCGAAAAGTACGAATCTCAGTATTCATAAGTATCATCTCATAAGCTAATATCTCTATACCTTTAGCTAAAGCTGCAACTATTTCAAATATAGATATAGAAGAGCTTCCTTGATATTGTGCAATTCGATTTTTAACTAAGATTAATTGCGAAAAAGTATCGTTCGAGTTGTGAGGTATTTGAGAAACCCAAGGATCGAGCTTTACAAAAGAGGATCTGGTAGACGTAAGTGTTTGTAATTTGATATCTAGCTTAGAAATAACAGTTTGAGGATCAAAGGGTATTAATCCAGTTCCGCAGAATCCAGATAATCCATTTTGAACAGTTATTGATTGTAGGTATACTGCTTTGAAGACTATAAGGAATTCGACCTTAGTGGTATAGTTGATATAAGCCTTAATATACCCTTCAATTTGTTGGCCATATATTTGTTTTAAAACACTAAAACATCTGACATCAAGTGGTTGAGTAATATACAAAGAATAAAAAGATAATGAAAAAGTTATAATATTGTGTTCTTTGCAATATTCTTGAAATACAATCAATTCGTGGTTTTCGTGTCCGTCTAATACTAGCATTCGATAACCATCTTGTTTTCAAGCAATAGTATGCTTATCGAAGTGTTTAATCTACTCTAAATCTATCTCATTGTTTGTCTATCCATTATTAGTAACTTTAATCACTTAATCAAATGGGAGATCATTTTCAGTATATCAATTCAAGAAATGATTTTTGCCCTTAATCATTAAAAATGGAGGAATGCTTTCTTCTATATTATTGATATATACAATCACTATAGTCCATTCTCGATTACCTAGCTATATTGCTTTATTTCTGCTATGTCATTTAGTATTAGTTATAATTATCCCAGGGCATATAATACCCATCATAAAGCCTATTTCATCGAAATTGTAGAAATCGCAATCGAGAATATTGTATTTCGCCTGCATATTCGATACTAATCGAAACCACTTTTCAATAAGCTTTGGATCTTCGCAAAGAGTTCTTTAAAAATCATAAATGCGATTAAAACGCATCTTTAATTCTAGCTAGCATTGTATAAATCGATGTGCCCAGAGCTTTCCAATGTGGTGTGTTTCATAAGTATCGAGAATATCATTCGCTATATCTTCTACACCACTCAATCGAGGGGCAAATCCTTGTATATCCATATCGAGGATATATTGAAGAATCACTTCTTCTTCTAATTTAGTTAATTTTTGAGTTGGTGATCAATATTCCTATAACAGGGTTAAATCGTTCATTCGATTCCGAAGTATTGTTTCAGGGACATTGTAGAGTTTAGCAGCACTCCGGCGACTCATTTTTTTTGATTTATTAATAGCTTCAATAGCTAAGATAATCCGAGCTTCTTTTGAAGTGTTATTCATTGTTGATTGTTGATTAAACGCGTGTTGAATTGAAGAGTTGCAAAATAGTGAAAAAGTGCGCGAGGCACTGATATGCGCGACGCACTGATAAACCACATTACACATTTTGATATATAATAAACCTAAGATTCAAGGCCTCAAATATATGTAACAACCTCTGCCTTGCTAGACATTAAAATAGGCATTTGTAGTTTATAATGATATGTATTTTGGTATACAACAAACCTGAAATTCAAGGTCTCAAACATATACAACAACCTCTGCTCTGCCGGGTATTAGAATAGACATTTACAATCTACAACAACACACATCTCTGCCTTGCCAAACATTAGAATAAATATATGCAATCTATAACAATATCAACATACATCTTTGCCCTGTTCAGCGTTAAAATAGACATTTTGGTATATAACAAGCCTAAAATTCAAGGCCTTAAATATATATATTTGTAATCCACAACAATACACAATCCCTGCCTTGCCAAAACATTAGAATATATATATTCAATCCCATCAACCAACTAATCAACTTTACAATCTACAATTTATTTAAAATAAATAAAGTAAAAAGTGTTAAGAAAAGAATAACAAAATAAGGAATACTAATCCAAAAAGATTTACCTTTTATATAAATTAGCTTTCAAGATGAAAAAGAAAAACATTATATAAGACTAAAAGACTTTTTCATTGTTTTTCTAGCAAAGGAATGTATTGAAAATTATCAGTACAATAGTGAATTTAACTGACTAAGTATAATTGCTTATTCCTAAAGCTTTTCTTTCCTTTTCAATCCTTCAACTTTATAACAAAATATCAAGAGATTAAATGAGCCACAACGAACTATTCCCTAGGTGCATTATAACTTTCAATATTATTATATTAATTGATAAGAAAAATAATATTTATATTATTTATTGATTATCTATCAAATATAAGAGAATTATTTGTAATATATTAATTTCAGAAATATATAATCTAATCTTTAGATTCGATTTAGATATAGTAATCAAAGGAACAATTATAGCAATCTTATAATTTAAGAAACCTATTCTATTTATAATTTATATTAATTCAAAATCGATATATAATCTATTTACAAAACTTGGGATTATAT